TTTTTGGCCATAACTTAAGAATTCATTATGACAAAATTTCACACTGATGTTTTATTGGATACAACAGTAAAGTGGTGATATTTTTAGTAGGCAAGATTTGGACCATAATTCACAGTTGGTTGGACACTGAATTGACACAAAGGTCAACGGTCATTGTGACCTCAAAATAGGTTTTTAGCCATAATTAAAGAATGGGATGGGCAATCAATTGGTATGACAAATTGAGTAAACAATAATTAGGATAGAATTACTTCCTCGTTCTGAATTTTGAGCATCAGAGCCATGTGACTTACAAACAGCATATTGGAGCGTGCCTAGGTAATCAGCATCCTGTGAGTGAGTTAGAGAGTTTTACCTACAGCTTCTAGAGAGTTGTTGCATCTTAAAATGCCAGGAGAAAACAAAAGTACCACATTTTGGTCAAACATATGTACCATGAATATAGTGATAACTTCTATTTAGCTATCGTACCTTTTATCCAGTCCCTTTCGGGTATCACCCAGATGAGATAATGAAGTGATTTGCAAATGGAAAGTTACATTAAATTGTAATATCTGTCTGGCTCTTCCTAGATCGGTTTGAAGGTCGGAGTGAGAACACGTGGCTGTAATGGACTGACTTACACACTGGACTACACTAAGGAGAGAGAAAAATCTGATGAGGAAGTGCTGCAGGATGGTAAGCTATGTCTGCTTGTTGTGCTTTCCTTTATAGTAAAAAAATACATTGACTGTTTGGCATATAAAGGCATTTATTTTATTTTTTTTTAAGAATTTTTCACAGCATGCATAGCTGTCTGCCACATAACTTTATTTTTGATGCTACCACTAGGGAGTGCCAAATACTCAAACTTGAACTTGTGAGTACTAATGACTACTGTGACTCTTACAGGTGTAAGGGTGTTCATAGAGAAGAAGGCTCAGTTGACCCTTCTGGGCACTGAGATGGACTTTGTGGAGTCAAAGCTGTCCAGTGAATTTGTCTTCAATAATCCCAACATCAAGGGAACATGTGGCTGTGGAGAAAGCTTCAACATTTGAGCATCACAGGACCTTCTATCCTCCCTGCACCCTTATTATTCCAAACCCTGTCCCACCCATAAAGACTGAGAGACTGAATGTTGACGAGGAAGTCGGACATGAGGAAATCTCTGAGATATGGACGTGCCTGCGTTCCTACCACTGCTCTTCCTACAGACCACTTGCATACGCACATTCGTGAAGCCCATGTACGTTTCATGCTTAGAGGAAGGTTTTAATACAGTCGATGTAGTCAAAAACCATCTCAACATATTGATTATAGATTCAGATACCTTTGATCTTGACAACTGCTTTTTTTTATTTGCGGCTCTGCATCTAAAAAACTATAGAAGGACCTCAAAGGCGAAGGTGTTTTTTTTTTTTTTTTTATTCTGTGACTAGCTGCCATCTTACACATATACGCACAATATTTTCAGTCAAATTTCACCATGACTTGTATGCAGGAGGAAATGGTACATGAGCAACAACACTGAAGCTGAGAGTTGATCAGGTTTGCGTTGGTAAAGCTAAGAAGATGAAGCGTGATACTATTAAGTATTCTGTCCTCAAGTTTGAATCTATAGACGTCAAGGTTGACATCAGCCGTTTGATAAACACACTGAGAGATAGTGTGCCATCATCCAGTGTCATGTACCAGTGAAAAGTGGAAGAGTTTGAGTGTCTTGAAACTGCTTTATTAGTTTGTATAAGTATCTATTTATCTCTGTGTGTAAATATAAAGAATGTAAATCTCCCACGAACCACACAAGCGCACAAAAAAACACACACCAAACATGTATCCCTCACATAAGAGTACATGAGGTTTATGTTGGATTATTTTCTTTGCTTGATCTAAGCCAGGACTTTGTATAGACTGTGCTGTTAAGATTTGTAACCTGTGCAATATGTCTGTGTACATATGAAATAATAAATGGCTGAATCCAGTAATATGAAATCATGTGGCCACTTTTTTTTATGTTCAGCAGTTCGACCGTAGGACTTGTAGCAAGATGATTGTTACATCATTACCGAAATAACAAACTTAGACCGGTTGTTATGGAGATGGCTCAGTTGTCATTAGAATCTTCATCTGAGTTGTCATGGCGATGGCTCAGTTAGCAGAACCAGGTGCATTCTGTTCCATCTTAAATCTCTGCATAACCTCTGTAGGTTTGTTTGTATTCAGGCAGAAGGAGAAAGTGGGTACAGTCAATTTTAAAGATTTGTTTTAATCATCCATCTTGTAGTACTTACTGAGGTAATGAGTGGGAGCTTTGCTTGATTTTCTTTAAGGTCCTTCAGGGTCATGGACAATCAAACCAATGATGGAGATTCTGACAGCAGAGAGTGTTATGAGGTTAAGGTAGTGAAAATTATACATAGCCTACAGTATAATTGTTATATTTACTAATAGCTTTTCTAGGGCAAAAAGAAATAACTGGATGTTTTTGAATGTTGTGGGTCTGTAAAGGATATGGCCATGGGATAAAGGAGGGATGCACTGACATAGTTTTAGTTATTCCTGTATTTATAACTAATTTAAAACAAGTAATTAAAAGGAAAGTAAACATAGTCTTTTTGGGACACAGTGGGCCAGCAAAATGAGCTGTAAAAACAACTTTTACACATCATCACCCAAAACAACCACACACTTAAACTGGATTTATATAATGTATATATAAATTACAGTATCAAATTCACTGACAGATGTGTTTTGGCAGATTTCTGAATGTTCCCTCTGCTACTTTTGTCAGACGTCAGAGTTATTAAAGGCTTTGGCTGAGAGGAAATCACCACCTTGCAATACCACACATATTGACCCCCGAAACGTCAGCACCACCCTCTCCATCCTAAAGAACACAGGGACAGGCAATTCTAACACCCATGGGTCCTTTAGATCCCGAGCCGTCCTCCCTGAAAACATCAGCCAGTTTTCCAAGTGTCAATTCAAGAGGCGGGATCACCTGAGTGAAAGTTTATCTGCCTCTGTACCTGTTCCTGCCCCCATCACTGCAGGGGCTTCATCTCAGGGGGCACAACTGCAACCCATTGCACACCTGGTAGAAAAGTCTAAGAAGCTGCCCTCTGACTCGATATCCTGTATTGGAGAAGAGCATGATATACATCCGCAGGTCCTGGATGTGCAGGGTCAGAGCCAATAGCAATCTTGTGAAACACAGTGGACGTAACAGTCTCCCTGAGCTGGTCAATAAATCAATTATTTCTCTCCTTCCAGGCTGGAGAGGCAATTTTTAATGACAATTAGATAAATTCTCTAATAGAATAATTATTCTGAGATGAAGATATTGTACCACTTTTCTTAAGGCATACTTTCAATTAGTTATAGGGTTCACGAGTTGTAACTAATGGCTTTATTAAAGTCTAACCAATGTATTAATGCTTTATAAATCATAAATAAAACATTGCTGTGGATAACCTTTGCATTGTCAGGTTGTGGGGTATATCTTCACATAAAGATGTAATGTCAAGGGTAATAAATGAATTTGCTACAGATCTATAAAGCATTAATAAATGATATCTTAACATTAATAAAACCATTTGTTACAACTTATAAACTACATACGTTTTTGGCACGGATACAAATTATTGCATTTTTTAACAAGAAAGCAAAACATAAAAATTAGTAACACCCATGGCTTCTATGGCTTGCCACAGATTTCATTTGACATCAAACGTTGGCCCTGCTGAAGTGCCCTTTAATGACATCCTCACTGCAGGAGGGCTGTTTCATAACTGACCTCATGCTCTGACATGTAGTGGGCCACAGAGGACATGGGTGAAGGTGATTTTTTTTTTCTTTTTTTTTGAGAAAACTTATTATAATACAATGTGAAAATTATTATTTTTTGCGGAGATTTTAACTTTTTGGTTTCTTCAAAGAAATCTGGAGTCCTGGGGCACTCTCAGACTGCTAGGAAACACACACACACACACACACACACACACACACACACACACACACACACACACATATATATATACATATAAAATGAATCAGAATACACTTATTTACCACCCAGTTGATTAAAGTCAAAGACACAGAAAAGATAAAACCCAACTGTAACCAGCAAAGATAGTTTGCCTGTTGTTGTCTTTACACAGCATTTGTTAGTGACTGAGACTTATATTTATTTATTATTTTTAAATCTAACACACATTCAATAAGAGCACCTTCAATAAACACATTTTCCCTTTTCTTTTTTACTAAAAGAGAAAAGATAGGAGCAGCTGAGATGATGGTCCTGAACAAATCTGCTCAAATTATATTGTATTTGTTGCACACACAAGCATAATTCGTCTAAAATATCAGTTTTCACTTATCTTATCTCAAGCAAAGAAATATCTAATGACTTTGTATGTTTGATTGCGAGGATAATGTGTCAGACAACAGAAAAAACAACAGAAATCAGTGTTTGTAATGTGTGTATGCAAACACGTCTTGGCATCACGCTGTGCAATTGGAAAGGTTTGCTGTTTGCTACTTTGCAGCAGAGGCCATGACGAATGTAATGACAGCTCTAAAAACTGTTTGTTTGTTTGGGAGATCAAGCTGAACTGTCACCATGACCCCCAGCTACCTCCATTATTCATTTATTTTCCTTTTCATTTGCAGCTAAGTACCAGTCATTATGAATTCCCTGTTGTTCTAATGAATCAACTATTTTGATTGTTGATTAGAGCTGAAGCGAACATTCACTACAACGTCTGGATGTTAACATGATGAAAAAATAAAATAACTCCATCTGAATCCAGCTGCAGGTCTTATATGGGGCACCCAGTCCTAAGTAATTACAGGCGATGATGGAGATTTTCTTTAGAAGCTCCTACTACCTCCGTCTCTTGCTTTTCCACTCACATAAATGCTTCCTGATTCCTGTCTCCTCCAAACACCCCCTCCCCTCCCCAGGTATGGTGGTCTATGCCAGCGCTTTCATCTCAGACGAGCAGAACAGCAGCACATCACTGACACTGGACTAAACCTGTTTTTTCAGAGCAGAGAGGGGAACACTGCAGACGCAAAAAAGTCACAACAACGGTAAGAAAAGCTTATTATACAGAAAAAAGCTTATTCAGTATGCTTAAATTTTAAGTTTGGCTTCAAGAACAATAATAAATTGTGCTCATATTCAAAATGAAATATCAAATTCTGTATACTTGGATATTGACATTGTTTGTGTTGCTTTTGCACGGTGTTCTTAGAGAAACAGACACTGACATGTTACTCAAAGAGCAGTAACATTTGCTGAGAAACCACCAAATTCAACGTGTGCCATAGAAATATTGCTGGCTTCCAGTTGTGAAGACGATGGTGGAATCAGCAGCCAATCGCGGTCCAGACTGTGGGTCCATCTGCAACGAGTCCGCAGCTCTGGAGGGCCAAGGGCCACCGGTTTTGGTTGACGCTTGGCTGGTCCCCACCTTCTTCGGTCTAATCATGCTGGTCGGCCTGGTCGGGAACTCGCTGGTCATCCATGTGGTCACCAAGCACCAGCAGATGAAGACGGTCACCAATTTTTACATAGGTCTGACTCTTTTTTTGTTATCCTTTCAGTGTGTTCAGCGGAAGAAAAGTTTTTTGAAGCTGGACAGCTTGATAATATAGAAAGTGGGATGCCCCATAGATGAGATAATAGGGTACAAAAAGGAAAGTCCTAAGGAAATTGTGACTTTCCAAAGTAAGACCAACAGGTGCATGCTGGGTCTGGTTAAGATGCAAAAAGAAAATATCCAACTTTCTCTGTTTACTTAGGAACTTTTATGTACAGTGAGGTGTGTGAGGACTTTCTGCTGTTTTTGACAAAAATCTCTGTCACAGTGACAGTGGTATTGACACAGTTATTCAGTATAGTAGTTTTGCCTCTTTAAATATATCTTACCTAGACGTGTCTTGAATAACATTGTGTTTAGGAATCACTGTTCTTGTTCCCTTCCAGTAAACCTGGCTACTACTGATATCTTGTTTCTGGTCTGCTGCGTGCCCTTCACTGCCACACTGTACCCACTGCCCAGCTGGATCTTTGGAGAGTTTATGTGCCGACTGGTGAACTATCTTCAGCAAGTGAGATACACACACATAAACACACATAAACACATAAACAAACAGACCTGGAAGTGCTGGGGGAAATTACAGTGGTTTAAAAATGACACTGTAACCATGCTACACAGTCACTGCTAAGATTGTAATTGTTACCTTACCAAAATACCACACTATACTACTGCAATTCAAGCAATTTTTAAGAGCTACTCTGATTTTCATTTAAACATTTGCCATATTATCAGTTTCTATAAGGCACAAAACATAAAAAAAACAACTTCAAAAAAGGAACCAGAGCAGGCGGAATATTTTCTTTGCGCAGTAAATATAATTTATCATACATAAACAAACATATCTTGTGTGTGTGTGTGTGTGTGTGTGTGTGTGTGTGTGTGTGTGTGTGTGTTTCAGGTGACGGCTCAAGCTACATGTATCACTCTGTCAGCTATGAGTGTGGACCGCTGCTATGTGACTGTCTATCCTCTGCAGTCTCTGCGACACCGAACCCCACGCATGGCTCTGGCCATCTCTGTGTCCATCTGGATAGGTATCACAAAAAAACACCACCCACACACACACAAACACACACAACCCTATACACACACACTGATAAAGAGACAGTGGTAACAACTTGTTGCTTCTGTTTCAATAGCCCTCCCTGTGATGTTGATTATCTATTGCTTTAAACTAAAGTCAGAAAACTTGAAGCACCTGACCATAAAACTATTAATTAATTTAGATCAAACTTGCAATTATTGTTTCTTTTAATTAATAAGCCAACACACATGTTTTGAAATAAACAATAAAGAATGAAAAAAAGAGTCTTTTTTCCTTTCTTTTTAGAGTTTTTGGGGGCTTTTTAGACTTATCTTTATGTAGAAACTGTAGAGAAAATGGACGTAATGTCGTAGCTTCTAAAAGGATGCTTTGATTTGGGCCTTATTATTATTAGAGCTAATATCTTCTTAATAGAACAACAAATCAACACCAAATCACCCATTAAAAAAATAAAAATAAATATTGATGCTGACTTTGTAGCCAGCATCTAGTGGCAGTAAGTGAACCTTATGATGAACATCATTCTCTGAGTCTCACAGTCATGTCCCCTGTCCTCTCCAGGCTCTTTGCTTCTGTCCATCCCTGTGGCCGTCTACCAGCGTCTGGAGGCAGGATACTGGTTTGGTCCTCAGACATACTGCAGTGAGGTCTTCCCCTCGGCCCGACTCCAGAGAGCCTTCATCATCTACAGCTTCCTGGCCGTCTACCTGCTGCCCCTGCTCACCATCACCGCCTGTTACGCCTTCATGCTCAAGCGCATGGGGCAGCCCAGCGTGAATCCCATCGACAGCAGCTACCAAGTAAGAGAAGGAAATACTTTCACTTGCTTTGTTCTGTTCGTTGTTCTGATCATAGCAAACACTTTACAAAACCTCTCCAACTCCAGCTTCAGGCTCAGGCAGAGAGAGCAGCAGCAGTGCGGGCGCGGGTCTCCCGGATGGTGGTGGTGATGGTGGCTCTGTTCCTCATCTGCTGGGGCCCCATCCAGGTCTGCATCCTCCTGCAGGCTTTTGGCCTACGCAGTTACGTTCTATATAAGGTGACTTACTCTGCATGATATGTGATTAAATGAGCCTCACTGTGCCGTAGGTAGTAGGGGTGTAATCGAATACAAATACATTATTTGGATATGCACAGATAGTCCGTATTTTGGTAGTAATATTTGACCCCTGCCACGCTCCTGACAGTTTACCACAAACACTGCATTTTGTCACATTTAAACACAGAAATCATATTAAAATGACGCTCCTTATTAACCTCAATTCTTGTGTCTTGTCTAATCAACAGATTTAGTTTAGTTTAGTTTTCTTTTGTTTTCTTTGTAACCCTGGAGACTTTTTAAGAGATGAGGTTGTGTGGCTCTACAATCTCCCAGCAGTGACAGTGGATGACAGGACTGTAGTGGCAGAAATCAATGCACTTGCTTGAAAAACCGCGACATCGATTCCTTACATCTGAGTCTGTCTTAATTTTGCATCCACAGCTGAAGATTTGGGGTCACTGCATGTCTTACTCCAACTCCTCCGTCAACCCACTGGTTTATGCCTTCATGGGAAACAACTTCAGAAAGGCCTTCAAGCACGCCTTCCCTGCCATATTTCTGTGGCGCACGAGGAGAAGAGTGAGGGTGGGAAACATGGATGCAGAGGAAGGGGGAGAGATGGATCGCCAGGCACCCAAAGGAGAGGCAGAGATGCACTTTCTTTCATCTGGATCCTAAAGGCCACGCTGGGCATTCGGACACTGTGCACTCATTGTTTATTTATTGTTTGTTCTGGAGATGATAGCAGCCGGCACACACACACACACACACACAATGTGGGCTCCATCTAGAAAGTATTGGCAACACCAGTAAGTGACAGGTTTAAAACACACACACACACACACACACACACACACACACACACACACACACACACACACACACACACATACATGCAGAGGAGCGTGCCATGTGATCTCTTAAAAAGGACAAACTAGTCAGACGCCTCTCGTGATCTTCACGAGCTGCTGAAATACAATTATCGTTGTCACATTTTTCTAGCTCAGCTGGACTTATGCAACCAATTCCCTGGATGTCAAAATGTTTGAGCTGCTGGTTTTATCTTCTTCACAATTTCTCAAGGAGGGGAAGAAAATGGTGTTGGACAACAACTGTTATTGACTGCATCGTTTATGGACAGAAGCCCTGTTGAATACATTTAAACGTGCTACTGTAAGGAGCCTGGTTAAACACTTGCACAAATTCTGCATGATCTTTTTTGTTACTGTTAACTTTTATTTTCGGTAATGTTCTTTTTCCAGTGTGTCCTGTTGTTTTGTTGGAGTTCTTCAGTGTATAGTTTATTTGGGGATTGGTGGTGCTTTATCTTTGTACAGCATTATAACAGATACTAGCTCTTCTAGTCAGTCAAGGGAATTCAATCTATATAGCCAGTAGCACAAATGTAGACTACAGCATACACCCTTTTCATTCGGCTAAGGAAAGGTCTTAAATACTTCCTCCACCACTGTATTTAGGATACCCAGAAATCCTTTCTCTCCTCCCTAAGACACAACCTGAAACTTTACAGAAACACTTGTAACAACACTTGTTGTAGCTTTAATGTGCTGACCAGAACTGGTTTTGAAATGTCCAAAGCCATTCATTTATTGGTGATATTTTGAAAGAGCAGCCAAAGGTTATTGCTGCTGTTTATAACCTCAGAAAGCAAGTTTTATTTTTTACACAAAGGGAGACTATAAACAAGCGAACTCATGGACATAATATTTTAAAGTTATATCCCTTCACTTCAGTTGTTTTAACACAGTGACATAAGGGTTGCAGTATATTAAACTGGGGATTTCACTGTTTACTGTGTATATTAATAACTGAAAATAAAAGCTGTTCGGCACTGAAGTTTTCTCACAGCAGAGCCCATCAGTCCAGATCTGACTTGATATTCACCAATGATATCTGTTTGCCAAACAGACATGTGACACCAGCCAATGAAATGGCTGGTTGAGAATGAGATGCCTTCAGGTGACGCTGAAAATGTTTGTATTTCCACAGAGTGCATATGAACAGATAAACCCCAGACCCCAGTTCATTTTTGTAAATTCTTCTTTGGTTTCTGAATTGTCTAAATCATCTTGAGGCCCTCCCTGTTCTGCAAAGGGGTTGTAAAAAAATGTAGTTTAGTTTTAGACTTTATATATATTGTGTTCACATGGTGCATATTCCTAAAGTTGTGATAAATCAAATTACCACAAACTAAATGACATACAGAAAACCCTGGAGTCAGGGAGTGTAATTTAAGCACAGGAGTACTGATAAAGGATTGATTCACATTTTCCAAGTCTGTATATTAACTTCACATACATTTTTCACAGAACAAGGACTTTGGATGTTATACCCATCATTTACATACACCAACAAGTTGGCTAAGGATCTTTTAAAGGCCAGTATGAACAGGAGGAATATTTACACCACAGAAAATTCTGTTTTAGTGTTCATATGGGCACTTCAATATCATTTTAAGACAGGCTTGAAAAATTGTGAACCTGTCCTTTAAGACACAACATCAGCAATGCATGCAGCCAAACAGGTTAATGCAGCTGTTATGAAACTGTCTGGCAAGCCACTAGAAACAGGGAGGAATTCCACTTCACTGTAAGTGGAAACACGATGCTGTCTATGGGACATGGGACCTGTAAGGACTCTAATTTGTTGTTATTGATGTACTTTTAATAAAATAGGTTAAACGTATGTTACAGTTCTAGCTCTGTTTACTTTCATATTTGTGGTCACATGACATGCATTTTCAAATATGTACAAACTTATCAAACCAGTAATAATTAAATTGAACATTATTAACACTAACAAGCTTAAATGTGTTTGTGTATGTAATACTGCTGTCACTAATTAGAATAATAAACTTTACTAACTATTTACAAAACAAAAGTTACAAAGTGCTTTGCATGGTTGTACAGGATTAAAGGAATTTAAATAATACAAAATAAAATATCCAACAATAATATAAGATGATAACAATCATATGAAACATTCTTTCCTTTATTTTCTTATAACCTAAACTATTCACTGTCCACGTCCTACGCACACACAGTTTGCAAAGTAAACTTTCTTCTGTTAGTCGACCGTACGAGTTTACGTGTAGCACCTGAACGCAGCACGTTACATACAGCTAGATAAGTGGCATCCACGCCGACGAGTGCAGGAGGAGAGGCAGAATCATCCACATCGCTGAGTCAAACAGAGGAAAAAACCCATTAGTTGGACACAGGAACTCATTTTACATCATGGAGCAGAAACAAACCATCAACTTCGGCGCCGGACCCGCAAAACTCCCCCAATCCGTAAGTTTAGATCCTCATGTTGCTTGTGTGACGTTAAAAATCTGAGAAAAAAAAGCTGTAAGAGACTCGAAAACTGTGTTGCGTAAACTACCAGAGAGAGGAATGTGATTTATATGAAGGGATTTCTGCAGATGCACGCTGCAGACTCTTCTTCATGTGGTTGATTCGAGCAACATTCCAATCTCTCGCATTTTTGCACATTCACGGTGGATCTGCTGGCCCCATTTCCCTCTCACAACGACAGAGAGTGGCAAGCAGTTATGTGGGGATAATGAATGTTGGTTTCAGGGCTGCTGTCGGCTTGGCGTTTGTCAGCAGCTCCAACAGGCTGTAAACGGTGTGCTGAGTTGCATCAGCCTTCATTCATTCATGTGGAAACCTGCTCCTTTGTGCGCCAATGGCAGCAGCAGATACAGCCTCTAGATGGCAGAAAAATGACCTTCTTAGAAAAATAAATCACAGCTTTTATGGTCAGTTTTAATAGTTAAAAAGAGCAGACTCGGTGTTAGACCACTGCTAAATTCAGTTGCATTCAGGTTTTAACAGGATGCTGATTCATTTGTGTTTTTGGTCCTTTGCACAAAACTTATTATTTGAAGATAATATAAATGTATATTTGTGCTGCTGAGGTCTGGTACATTCTCTTTTTACCACCATTAATCAAATGTTACACATCTCTAAACAAATCCCATTAAAACCTGGATAATCTTAATCTGGATAAGACAGAATCCAGATAAAGAGCACAATGCATGGTAACACATCAGCCTCTGTAGTTTGGACTTCATTGATTTTACATCTGGCTTCTTGTTTCTGCTCACACTTTATCTTTTAAAGCACCTAAAAACCTGCCAGACTGTTGTTGTTGTTGTTGTTGTTATTATTATTATTATTATTATTATTATTATTATTATTATTATTTCTGATGCTGTTTGCAGTCTGTGAAGAAATACTTCTATTTGTTCCAGGTGCTGCTTCAGGCACAGAAGGAGCTCCTCGACTACAACGGCACTGGCATCAGTGTTCTCGGTGAGTAGAACTGCAGATCGACTCCTCTGGATCAGCACATATACACGTGTCTTTCAGCTGACGTCCTGTTGACTGACTTCAACTCCTAGAAGATTTATTGATTATATTACATTGTAGTGATTTCTCAAAGTTTTTCTTTACTACTACTACTACAGGTTCCCAGGTTTTAAGCCTGTCTTCAAACATTAGTACGGTGCCTATAGATACATTGAAACAGCTTTCTCTTGCTGTCATTACTGGCTTTGTGTGTTCAGTTTTATTAGAAGCTATTGTGAGGCTCCAGACAAATCAAGTAGATATCTTTATAAGTTAGTGTTTAGTACAATATTAGAAAAAGAGGGGATTTTGTAGTAAAACACAAACTTTTTAAGATATCTCAGATAAACTTTTGAATATATTTTTGTCCTCTGTCACTTAAATTAGCTTTAGTGAGGTTTCTGTCCAAATGCCGTGTAAACTTTGACCAAATGTTTAGAAAATTGGGAAGAAAATGCAAATGTGTGTTTATTTACACCCATTATTGATATGAAAATATTGGGATTTGATTCATCGAGATGAGCAGTGGGTCACGCTAAATCTCCAGTCAGGGGCTATTACACAGTACATTACAGTGTAGAAGAAGAAGGTGCAACAAGCGAGCGCCAGTCAAACCTCAAGTGGTGGAAAAAAATTAGAAATACAGAATATTTGTTTGTTTCATACACTAATTTGAGGAAGGTTACAATCTCTTCCACTAAGGTTTCTTTAATGCACAGATAATGGCTGATTCCTGCTTCCTCAATCTGTTGTTGAATGATCCCTAAATATAACATTGATTATGCTAAAAGGTGAGTCAGTGACGATGAGATCGGATTGTTTTTGATTCTGTTCAAACCAGAGATGAGTCACCGATCATCAGACTTCAACAAGATCCTCAACAAAACAGAGATTCTCCTGCGAGAGTTGCTGTAAGTTTCTTTTTGTTGTTTCACTTTATTTCAACTGTATTATCCTCCATCTTTACTCCTCTTTACTTAAAGAAAGGAACAGTGGTGTTGCAGTACAGTATGACTCTGCACACTTGCAAACTAGGCTGTTAATTCATATTATCTTGCCTGTTTCACAATATGTATTATACGTGGAAACAGATAACACAACCGTACCCAGTCATTCTGGGGTGACTTTTTATATTTCATCTTAAGTTTTAACATTATACCACATACATTGGTAAACTTAACTTAACAAAACATGCATACCCAGAAAAACGGAATAACAGAGTAAAACATGATTAACTGACAAGTAGAATAATGTGAATGATAATATTCCCACATTAATTTCCTGTACTTTTTCTCCTTTTGTTAACATCGTCTGTGTGTCCTCAGGCTCTCTTGTGGCCACATGTCGGGCCAAATGCCAAAAAAGGTTTAGGGTTAGGTTGTGCAAAGGTAGTGTTTGTCAGTCTAGTAGGTGTGTTTCTCTACAGTTATTAATGTAAGATTAGTCAGGAAGAATCCTTGCTGTACTTTGCATTGTTAAGGTTGTTTTATGAATGGATTTAATGCTCTCTTAATCTAACAGAAGCTATTGTAGTTGCAAAATGGACTGAAAGCAACTCAGTCAATGCCATTACAGCAAATGTTTCTCAGGAAATTGCCTTGGTAAGCTTGTATAGTGCAGGAAAGACGGGAAAATAACTACAAAATAACCTGCAGGCTGAAAACAAAATGTACATTGTATTATTCTTTTATACATTTTTAAAATGATTTCTTTCATGTTAACAACAAAGGTTGCTTTTCCCCTTCACAATTGGTCAAAATGGAGCAGAAATTGTGAGCTGTGAGTTAAGAAATCCCATCTGTAATCTTAAAGAAACTGATAATGATTTTAATGCATCACAATGGTGATGGCATGCAAACTGGTAGAACCAGATGCGTCAGTTTTAAAAGTTTTAGTTGTAACATACAACCATAGTGTTAAGAGTTAACATCAGTGTCAAGGTCTGTCTGCACATTGATGAATATGATGATTTTTGTCTTCACAGAAACATCCCAGAGAACTATAAGGTGATGTTTCTGCAGGGCGGCGGGTCTGGACAGTTCAGCGCTGTTCCCCTCAACCTGATTGGCCTCAAAGAGGACGGGTGTGCCGATTACCTTGTGACCGGCACATGGTCGGCAAAAGCAGCAAAAGAAGCGGAGAAATACGGCAAAGTCAACATTGTCCACCCGAAGCTGGATTGTTACACGAGTAAGTCCGTGTGCATAGGGAAATGTCTTAATGCTGTTTATGTGAATATAGAGGCAGAATAAAAATCATCAGAAAACTACCACAATCATAATTTTCTAACAGCATGCATGTTTTCAGTTGCATTCAATCGCATCAAAAACCAGTTTCAGCTCTTATGAGTTGGTCATTGACATTCACGCTGCATTAGGATGGTCCTTCTGCAAAGTCCGGCTGTGTGTTCAGGCTGTTGCATAATAAACAATAGAGCCGACTACCAATGAAAGACTCTGGTATGCGAGCAGCCCTTTCCACATGGTTGTGTCTGATAGGAGGTTTTTTCACAGTCGGCCATCACCAGAAAGACGAGTCACACTTTCAATGTGTGTGTTTTTACAGACAGAAAGTCATCTGGGACATCTGGTGTTTGCCATGTTTACCAAATGGTCACTGGCCAGTGGAACCAAAATATAGAAAGATCCAGAAAGAGGGCAGATTCTCCCTTTTGGCACCTTTTTTTTATTTTTACAAGTCACTGGTTTTTGAAGTGAAAAATTGAAAAGCCAGTACGGCTTTTCAAAGTAACCAAACTAGTAAGTGGCAGGGGGTATGAGGTGTAGTTGCATAAGCAGAGAGGCAAAGTAATGTAAGACTATATACACAGTTTTTAGCAACCTAGCTCTGGTGATTGCAATGTCAGGCCACCACTTTGGTCCAGATTTTAACTGTGTTAATTGGCATGAGATTGTGTAAAGACATTTGTGGTCCCTGCAGGATAAATTGCTCTGATTTTGGAGATCCTGTAGTACCATTGACAGGTTGACATTTAGTGACATCTTGATGCCCAGAGGATGAATCCTGTCTCAGCTGTTCTTTGTGTTAATAGCTAATTAGCAAACGTTAAACTAAACTATGCTGAACTAAGATTGCGAACATGTTAAGCACTATACCTGCTAAATGTCAGTCTCACAGAGCTACCAGCATGGCTGCAGACTCTTCAGTCTGGTTTAACTATGTTTTATTGTTGCTCCCTCCAGAAATCCCAGACTCCAGCACCTGGACCCTGAACCCCTCAGCCTCCTACGTGTACTACTGCTGCAACGAGACAGTCCACGGCGTGGAATACAACTTCATACCTGAAACAAACGGGGTGGTCCTTGTCAGCGACATGTCCTCCAACTTCCTGTCACGACCTGTGGATGTGACGAAGGTGAGGACAAGAAAGATACAACAACAGCACCCATGTAAAAGCTATGACAAGACACAAGAAATACTGATGCTAAAAGTATATATAAGATCAAATAATTAAAATAATAATAAGATAAAGTAATAAGATATTAGGAGTGATTCAATTATAAAAAAATCATAGAACAATAAAAGAATAAGACAAATGAAGACCTGTGAGTCACATTGTTAGCATCCTGAGACGCTGAATGTTACATGCTAAACAGCATGAGAGCTGAGCCTGAGATGTCCTGAAATTTCCACCATATAGAGATTAAACCCTTTAAACTCTGCCTTCTTTATTTTATTGTGTCCTCTCACATTGTGTAGTTTGGTCTGATTTTTGCCGGGGCCCAGAAGAATGTGGGCTGCGCCGGGGTAACTGTGGTCATCGTGCGAGAGGACTTGATAGGCCACACTCTGAAAGAGTGTCCCATTGTCCTGGACTACAAGGTGCAGGCTGAAATGAACTCCCTCTACAACACACCGCCATGTTTCAGGTACTGAATGAGCTGTTTTCACCATTAGACACACTTTCCTACAGATAACTGATGATTAGAAATTTAAAATATATTACGAGCTAAATACACTTGTACATATACATGTTAACATTTTAAATGTTAATACATTTTAAAATCTCCTGGAATTACTGGTTGCATTTTCCAAGTTTTAAAGGAATAGTTCAGAATTTTTGGGAAATGTATTATTTGCTGAGACCACTCCTGAGTCCATCTTGTGTCATTTTTATAAGAAGGTACAGCTAGCAGCTGGTTAGCTTAGCTTAGCATAAAGTCTGGAAGCAGCTTGCCTGTCTCTGAAGCAAATACAAACAGTAGTAATAGTGTTTTTTTCTTTGATTATGTGTGTGACCGTTTTGTTTGTCCAGCATCTACATCATGGGTCTGGTTCTGGAGTGGATTAAGAACAACGGCGGCAGCGCTGCCATGGAGACGCTCAACAAGCAGAAGTCCTCCATGATTTATGACATCATCGATGCTTCGAATGGTTTCTATGTGTAAGTATCACTTAGTATCATCGGTAACTGTGATTACCCTACTACTGCATACTAAAATGGCTGCTGTGAAAATGTCTATGAAGATTCAAATTGAAACTATTGCTGTGTCCACCTGTCCACCTGTCCAGGTGTCCCGTAGACGAGGGTTGTCGAAGCCGCATGAATGTACCATTTCGTGTGGGGAAGAAAGAGGGAGATGAAGCCTTGGAAAAGAAGTTTTTGGAGGGCGCATCCAAGCGTGGAATGATATCGCTGAAAGGACACAGGTAAGCACGTACCTCCTGTTGTTGTTGTTGTTAATAATAATAATAATAATAATAATAATAGATACCTGCTTACTCCCGAATTCTTATAGAAGTAAGCTAATGTTAAGTTACACTTAAACACCAGCAGTTGGATGTCCTGTGACTTAGTTTTTCGTGCCACTTCTCCATTTGTTGACCTCAAACATGACTCTGTCTCCCCCTGCAGGTCAGTTGGAGGGATTCGTGCCTCTCTGTACAACGCTGTGACCCTGGAGGACGCTGAAGCCCTGGCTGCCTATATGAAAGAATTCCAGAAAGAGCACCAATAAGACCGGGTCACGCTTAAAGGCAGCTGATGTCTCTCAGTGGCTTTCATTACTTCAGTACGGTTTAAAAAGCCCTCTGGTATACCTCTAGTTGAGATCCATGTTGGATCTGGAAGGTGCACCTTTAGACACATGTTTTGTAACACCCACTGTTCCTAGTAAGCTTTAACCACTACTGTTGCCAGTAATGTCTTAATTACATCTGTATTTCATAGAATTACTATTTTAACGAACTTGTTGACTAACAGTGCTTTGATGTACATACTGTAGGCGATTCTTGTTACTCGTTTAACATATTTACATTCCAGTAAATTTAACTTGGCAATACTTACACGTTTTGCAGTGTCATTCCTCGTCTTGAGTGCTGTTCTACGATGTACCCCATTTTGTAATTTGAAACATTTATCCCAGCCGGTATCCGTGAGTAAAAATTTCTCTCTTCTGTGAACAGAGAAGCTGTGCTAAACAACCAAACTTTCCATTAAATGAGGAGTTTTGTTAAGAATATTAACATTACAGATATTTTTTTTGAAAACCGACTCATTGTTGTATAAATTCACCCTCACAGATCTTACTGGCTTAAAGGTTCACCAAACTTAAGAAAAACATGTTTTCTTACTTGTTGGGGCTTGAATGGAACAATGTTACAACCAAGCAAGTAATGACATAATGAAGCACAACGATGAAGCCAAGAGGAGGTGCCATATTCCAGACAATAATCACTAATAAATGTCAAGGAGCTTGCAACAACAAAACAAATCTTGCTGACCATAATTGGACAAAACATCACATCTGCTCACAAGGTTGTGTCAATAGGAAAAAACTTGTATTTCTTGAGATGGTGATAAAACGTAATTGCACTGGGTTGGAGGGATACAATTTCAAATGGATATCTCAAAACCTGGGCAAATAAAGTAAGTAAACCAAACCTTTACAAAAAAGTTGGTAACACAAAGTCAAAGTTACTTGTTTTACTACTTGGAATGCTACGTCAGAGAAACTTAGAGGATCGTGAACAAGAAACTGAACACCAGCAACAAACATCAGCTGTCAGTGAACACCAACAAAACTGGTCAAAACATCGACTGGGATGGGATCAAGGAATGTCATCTGTGCCATAAATATACACCTGTTATCATGTGTACAAGTGTAATAGCACGCTTGACCACATGCTGCGTGTGTGGTGCAACAGCCGTTCAACAAGAGAGGGCAGTGAGAACCGTCTTTTTAACCTGGTGTTTCTCTTAAATAAAAATATGTAGCACGTCTACTTTAAAAGCACAGTTAGTCTTTTGCCTGTGAGGTTAAGCATTCACCTTCTACTACTCCACTGACAGCAGAAACAGCTCAGTATGAAGGAGTGAACAGGTCTACATAATATCAGCAGGGCAGCAGGATGGCTTCATGGTGAGAAAGTCCGTCTTCCATCTTGATGTCCAGAGGCTAGTTCCCTGCTGCATTCACCCTGCTGAGGCAGCAAGACACTGTAGCTGTACCAGCTCCAGGAGCACTGAGGGTATCTGACCCTGACCTTTCACCTCCCTCGAAGGGAAGCAATAGAGGAAAACCATTACAGCGATCAATGACGTAACATATCCTTACAGGTATCTAAAAATATTTTTTTCCCTGTAGGTTTGCCTTACAATGACCGAAAATATTTTCTGAAAAGAAACTGTCTATTGTGAGGGGATTGTGTGAGCTGGGGTGAGTGTGTGTGAGCTTTATTTATCCACCGACTGGACAATGTTAAACAAAAGCAGGCTAACTAACTAAAAACAAGGTTGATTAAAACATGGTAAACATTGAAAGGCGTTGCGTGCTCCCATGTCTTTCCACCTTCAAGTTCATATGGTGGAAGAAAACTGGAAGTTAGTAAGTGGGAGACATATCTCACAGTACGGTTCAATTCTATCCTTCATAGCGGCTCAGTGGGCTTGTCCTGTTTCAGTAAGAATTTTGTCCTCTCCTTGCACTGGTACTTCTGTTTGTGTTTATCTGTACAGAAGGTAGAGACATAGGATGATGTTACATAAATCAAAGGGGACATAAAGAAGACATTTTCTGGTGGCGGGATCCATCAACCAGATTGTTTGTATAGGTATATATTCAAAATGCATGCAAGTCTGTTTTAACTGAAAATATCCTATAGCAGGAATTTATCAGAAAAATTATAACAATAAATAAACATTATATTTTTTTGTTTATAGAGCAAAACCCAGGTTACAAAGTGTTTCACACAAGGCAGACAATAAAAGTCACAACTCATAAGTAACAAAAAAGCTCTACATAAGCTTTCAAATTAAAAAAAGAATACTGACATATAATAACCAATACCATGCCTAAATATTTAGTCTCAGCCACGTGTGCTAACAACCTTGAGCCCAAAATGAAACTAGATGTTTTTACTCCAAATGACCTCTAGGTGGAAGTGTTCATCAAGAAACTTGAGGGGTCTGACTCCTTTCAAAATGCAGTCTGGTGTTGCCCACCCTGTTCTATGAGACTTTATTGATATTATATTTTGATGAAATCATGTTGCCAAAGCTTATATAAAATGATTGAAAGCATATGGTAAATAATATATAATAAAAGAAAAATACATCCAATAATAGATAATGAAGTCAACAATGCACAAAAACAATGAACAAAACATAGATTTAAACAACTAATAACCCAAAGAAAGACAGGAAATTAACTGTATTTTATTCTCACTCTTATGCCTGCCTGCATGCACACACAAATACATACACCCACACACATAAATACGCACACACTGATTTGTGTGGCTTCTTCTGATAAGGTCAACTCACCGCCACAGGCGAAGGGTCCTCAACTAAAGAACCAAATCAATAATACACATCTCTGCTTCATAATGCTTCGACAGAAAAACATTCTCCAAATGTTTAGAGCTCAGCATAATTGCATTTCACTTTCCATCAATCCTTAGCATTTATTCCACTGAAAATATATCCATATTAGAGACAGAAAAGCATGTTGTTTACATGATATAATTCACTTTCCAGAAGCTGGACATTTTATGTGATCAACAGGAGTAACTCCCCTCCAGATGACATCCTGGTGTAGACATGTGTAAAAAGGCTATTAGTGTGGAGTGGGCATGATGTTAATAGAACATGAGATGCACCGTTTTGTCAGTGCTCTTATCTTTCATGCTTTACAATTCTATCACTTCATGAATGGTTGAATGGGTGGAATAAATGGGAATTGAACTTGTAACCTGGTAGCCTCTCAAAATATTTTCATGCTTAGCGTCTGTATTGTGTTGCAGCCAACCTTTGTAGGAGAAAAGTCCTTTACATGATATTTGTAATTAACTTCTTTTTTCCTCATAAATTTAATATACCTCTTGAAAATGCAGAATGGTGCAACCTCTGAAACTGACTCTTTTTGAGTCAGTCAACCAGCTATTTTTCTTACTTTCATTTTGAAATGTAATGAAACACAAGGTAAAGTTGATCCAGGAGTTATTATTTTATATAACATCCCAGATGATTCTTTCCAAAAAGTAATTTTGGCTGTTAGCAAATATCAATACCAAGAGCAGGGGAGAAAGTCTGAATGCTGGTGTTGACTGTGGATCCCCAGGGTGGGAGATGTTGGACCTGCTGCGAAAGTTTGTGTGCTGAAAGGTAAAAATGTTCTGCCAGACAAGAGTGAGGTATTGCTTTAGGCCAGATGAGTTTTGTGTCGACGCAGCCTCGTCGTTGTCTTTACATTTACATCTGCAGCCTTCTAAAGGTCAAGCAAAAGCTTCATGGTCATCTTCAGCACTGACCTTGAAAGCCTTGATGCTCCCATCAGCTGCAGGGTCGTTGGCATCATTTAGTCTGGTCTTCAATGAACCTCCTATTGGAGCCATCATCAACCATCCTCATTGTAAGACTCTCTGCATATTCAGCAACTGCCTCTCTACAGATGCTCACATGCTCACAGTGACAACATGTTGATTTTTACCAGTGTTTACTATGTTCATCATCTTAAGTACAGCTGAGGCTGATGGGAAGGGCATTCATTTAGCTGGTATAAACCAAAGTATCTGACACTTTTTGACCTTATGATGGCGCTAGATGGGAAGTCAGGATCACCTTTACCAGAGTGACTACAATTAATCCTGAGGGGGACATTAATTTCTGTACAACAAATGTATAGAAACCCACCCAACATTTTGACTCAAAGCCATTCTCTGCACACCACAAATGTCTGTATACAATTTTACAGCAATCCATCCCATAGTTGAAATATTTCACCCTGAACACTTGGACTGCAGGAGCAACATTTCCATCCATAGAGCCAGAATGCTAACGGGGCTAAAAATGTGCTCAGATGTGAATTTGAGAAACAACAAAAGAGAAACAACTAAGTTGTAAGTGAATCAGGATTCTAGCAACCATGAGGAAAGGGAGGATAAACGAAGTACAAGACATTCCTGCTGATTTAGCTCAGAAAGAGAAACCTGGGAGTCTTACGCAAGCTTCCGGTGATAAATCTTAAAGTCCATGTGGTTGGGTGGGGACCTCCAGTTCAGGCTGAAGTACAATAAGATCCACTGTTGCCTGAGGCAAGTGAGGTACAATGATGCAAAAGGATTCGTGTGAGGTCGTTCCTCTCAATATCTCTGTTTCCATATCACAAGGTCTGTTTTAGGAATGAAAAATTGAACAGGTCTCTTATTGCAAACCAAGAGACTTTTAAATCCCCTAAAGCCCACTGAACTAAAACTAGAGAAAAGACTGGAACAAATCAGGAGATGCAATACAAGAAGGGATGGGAAGAAACATCCCTCTGACAAGCACACATTTAAGATTGCTCATTAAAAGTGTTGATGATGAAGCTGTAGAACTTTTTAAAAAATCAGCTGCTGTGGGCTACATCGGCCACTGGAGGGCACAATAATTGATAGCAGTCATGCATTAATTGGAACAAGCCTGTCAACAATTTGTGCATGTTTGCAAGTGCATGACTGTGTTGAACAAACCTTGCTGTTTGTGCTTGTGGTTGTGAAATGGACTGTGAGGTGTCAGTTGATGACAGTCAAGAAATAAATGAAAAAAAGACTGGGGGAAGAATCGTTGTTAGAATAAATTAAAAAAATCAAAGCAACTCCTCTATATTTAAAAAAGAGGGATATTTGTGAAGGAGAATAGCATATAGTTTATGCATTGTATTATCAGTCCTTCCAATGGAGATTTTGCTCTTGTGTCTCTATCGTGTGTACAATGACAAATTCTTTATACTCTGCTCTCTGCCTAAATGCAATTTGTATTCTGAAACTGCCGAACCTCTCAACAATTTTCCCAAAGATATTG